TGCACGCACAGCTATCGCGTCAGAAGCACACAGTCACAGAGGGAGGACTGGGCGCTCACACAGCTATCTTGCAGATGAGGTTTCTGACTTTGCTGGCCCATAAAACCAAATCTGAGATGGATTTCTGTTCGAAATGGCTGACTTACTATGCCGGTCTAACGTATGGCCTGCCAGTAGGTCTCAGGGTTCTGGGCAATAGCTCTGTGAAAGCTCGCCTTGTAGAGGCTGTATTCGGGCCATTCCCCTACAGTGTGTTGGTGTCAAACCCGCCAGCTCAGAAGACCATGGTATCCTGATTTGGCAGCTTATTGTGGTGAGGTACAAATCATCTGGAGATCTAACCCTGCGAGATCCTTCTCACTTCCTTGGATCCATCCGGTGGTGGATCCATCCGGTAAAGCTTGTCAAACCATTCTCTCCTGGATCCAGACACACACTGGCCATTGGGAATCTCTGGAATTTTCCCAGTGGGCTGGTCTTCCTTTCTTCCCTAACCTTGACATTATATAGCCTATTTACCAGGGGTGCCCAACCTGTTGGTCAGTCTCAGCGTATTCCCAGTCCAGCCAGTTGATAATGATTGGCAAAATATACTAAGAGCCCCCATCTCTTCAGCCGGTGGCAAAATATACCAAGGAGACGCCCTTCAGCGGTAAACTCCCAGGCTTTTTGTTGTCAGTGCTGTTTCCCAGTCAGTGTCAGGGTGAATATGTAGCCCACGCCAGGTAGCAGTGGCCATGACATAAGGGAAATCCGGGAGAGATCGCCAGCCCATCACAGGGCGATGGAAAGATGATGACACACCTAAACCATGTTTATTTTCTGGGCCAGGAAGCTGGAGTGTCCAGAGGGAACCCCTCGCCAATACAGGGAGAATGTGCTGACTTTACACTCATAACAGTTGGAACTGAACTCACGGCGCTTGAGGTGTGAGGCCGCAGCAAGACCCTCTAAGGCAGTGATTCTCAACCTTTTTGCACTGCGACCCAATTTTTTCCATGCCAGTTCAGTCGCGATGCTATACAAGTATAGGTCTAAATTAACACTATGATCAAGCACGCAGTGCACTCTATACAATTTGTGCCAGTCTATCATATAAATCTGATTGGATGTGCCACTGAATTTCAAATTAATCATCTGTGGTTTGGCGTCTTGGATTGGTTGAGTGTTCACTAGTTTTACACTAAGCAGTTGCAGACCCAACACCCATTTTTATAGGTTAATTCTAGCATTAGGGCTGGGAAATCTGATCACGGATCAGCATGGGAGCTTGCAGGTTTTAAAATGCTTACATTTCCAACTCTGCCTCGCAACCCTTTCAGAACTTTGGGCCAATTTTGGGTCGCAGCCCACGGGTTGAGGATCTCTGCTCTAAGGCACCATGCCGTTTCGCAAACATATGTACTCCCCCAGTTGTGTTATTAAAAACATCTGAAGCTATACATTAGTGCATGTTTCTTAAAGAACAAACATATCAGTCTCCCCTTGCTATATTTCAAGTGAATGCTTAGCTCGGGGCTGTTAGAAATGTACTGGAGTTTAAAAGATTGGTTTCACTAGTCATGATACCTTTTAAGTGTGACAGCAGGCAGTGCCGCTCTGACCTGGGAGTGTCAATTTACAGAAATGTTCTCGTTAGGTCAATGTCACTTTTCAGCAAGAATTTTGCATTTATCATCTCTGTAGACACCCCCCCCCCCCCAGAAACCACAAGCAGAACTCTTAGTACCTTAAGTTATCGACCACATTTTAGATGTGTCTGTTTCTGAATATTTTAGTGTTTTATGGTCAAGCACCGTGGAGGTTGACAGATATCCAGTGCAATGAGGCAAAAACATTGAGGATTCTGTTGTCTTAAGTGCACTGAGGTGACGTGCTGTGTAGATGGGGAGGACGCTTGTGTGTAGGGCTTCCACAAGCCCCTTTTTCTAGCAGAAGTGGTGCCTGTTTCCTGAGAAGTGAGACGGTGTGCCGGCTGAACCTGTGTGCCGACCGCATGTTGGAGAAATGTCAGCTTGGCACGTGGTTACAGCGTGGAAGCCACCTGGGCAGCTGCAGGAGCTGCAGAATCTGTCCATTCTGCGGGGCTTCCAGCCCACGTGTGACAGAGCAGGGATCCATGAGGAGATCTGGCTGCTGAAGAATTGTTTTCATTGGCAGGTATCAGCCCAGACGTTTAACTATGCTGGAGAAGGCTGCGCAGATCAGTATCAAATTGCAACAGAGGTCCTCCAAGATGAGGACCTGGATCCACACAGACACACGTACGCTGACACATGTACAGTTTGTGTTAGATAGCAATTTTTTATGCTTATTTTAAAACTTATGTAACGCTCAGTTTTAATAGCAGGAGTACGGGTTCGGTAGACGTGTGAGTCACTGGAAAGGCATAGCATAAAGAAACAGAAGATGAGACACACTTGAAAACCAGGACCCACTGAGAGATACTTGCTGAGAAGGATGAATGTTGTTTTTTTTAACGTGATCTCCAGTGGCTGGGGTTAAGAGCCAGGTCCATCCACTCAGCAATTCCAGGGTTCCCTGTGAAAACAAGCCAGTGATTTCAGGGCTGTCGTGGAGTGTGGCATGCATGTCATTGCTCTGCGGTGTGGTGACGATCGGTGGGTTGGGATGGGCACAGGAGGCTAGTAGGGGCAGAGTATGACTCTGTGGATTAGAAGTATGTGCCCGTGACTGGATGGTTGCTGGTTTGAATCCCGTGGCTGACAGAGTAATCATGCATATCACTAGAGCAAGGTCCTTGACCTTCTTTAAGGATGCTGATCTTGTGCCCTGACCCCCATTTTCATTTTCACTCATGTGTGTGTCTCACAGAAAGCAGGAAGGGCCATGAAAAAAACCAAGCAATTCCTGTACAGTGGTACTCATACAAATAACAAATACTAAATACTGTACAGCAATACTCCCACTCATTCAAATGCCAAGTACTAAGTACTGTATAATAGTACTCATACAAATGGCAAATACTAAATGTGTAACAGTACTCATACAAATGGCAAATACTACTAAATACGGTGTAGCAGTACTCATACTCATACAAATGGCAAATACTGAAGAGTACAGAACGTGTGGAATGTGCTTTCCTTAGCTATACAACGGCACCGACTTTCCTCCTTCATCTGCTTGCTGTGGACTCCAGCTCCAAACAGGACTGTATTCCAGAAGAGCTGCCTGGATTTTCTTTTTCCAAAGAGTTTTTGCCTCGGACCCAACACCCATCGCCATTTTCAGACTCTGTCCAGTGAAACTTGAATCTCCCGGAACGTGCCCTTGTCCACATGGGCAGTGCCAGGTCAGGTGGGCTTTGCTGGGCAGGGAGCCCATGTATTCTGTCCCGTGGAAGGCACTGCTATGAATGAGCTTCGGGGTGCAGAGACTCTGCAGATGCTCTTTTGCTTGCTGGGATTTTCCCTAAAAAAAAACTTGTACTGTGCTTCAGCTTCTGGCACTGTGGAGGTTGCTGATATAATGGCCTCTGTGGAGCCAACTTTCCTCTTATTGGTGCAAAGTGTGCCAGGAAAACCCAGCTCTTGCTTGGCTTGTAAATACAAACAAGATATCTCTGAGGAGATAAGGCCCGGAAGGTTCTGGAAGTGGCTCCCTGTTCATGGTGGAAAGTGCCTTTTTCTGTGCTTGTCCGGCGACGGTGGGGAGGCACTCTGGTGGCCTTGCCGTCGTCCTCCCCTCACCCCTCCCCCCCCAGGCCACGTGGAATGAGATGCTGTTTACAGGATTCCAGCCCCACCTTGTTAAGGCCCGGAACCGTGACTTCGCCTGGAATGTGGGCCACCGTCAGCACAGACAGGACCTCTTTGTTATCGTGTCCAAAGCCCCAGCCGTCTGTTCCTCCCTCTTCAGACGGGCTCCAATGCTGCCTCGCAGAAGGGAAAAAAATACCCCCATCCAAATGCGACCGCAAATATGTTTTTTTTAAGCTTCCTGCCATTAAAAGTTTGAGACGCTTGGTACTAGCATATGCTGTGATGTAAATTTAATTTTGAACCTGAACCTGTTTAAGTGCCAGTTGAAAGACATTTGGCTGCTTGAATATTTGTGTACCATGCTTAATAAATGTTGTCCTTTTCTCTTTTCGCATGAATAGAGTTGCGTTTTAGCGGAGCAGGGGCTGCCCTGTGAACTGTGGCCCCCGGCTCCGAGCCGCACTGTGCGTCCCGAGAAAATAACACTCAGTTGCGGTGGAACTGGATGCCGTGGAAGATAATTCGGTTTTATTTCCAGACCCCGGCAGAGAAAATGTACCTACTGTAAGACGGTCACCCTCGTGCCACGATGCGTTTGGGGGGCCTGGGCGAGAGAGGCCCAGCGTAAACGGAGGCGACCTGAACGCGCCCAGAGCACTTAACAGCCACCGCCCCATGCCACCTGCTGTCATTTCTGCCCTTTTCCATCCTTGATTAAAAATGCCCCTTGACGTAGCACTGTATTAAATTGCTAGCTTAGTAAATGCAGACAGAAAGCCTGTCCACTGTTGCTTCATGGTTGTATTTTCCTCTGGCCTTGGATTGATGGTGTTTCCTTGAGTGACTTGCTTGAATAGCTGGTTGATGATGTGATGGGTTTTTGTAACCTGCTGATAAACGTGATTTTCCAAGCTAGCCCCCCCCCCACTGTGGCCCCGGTGCTTCCTGCTACCTGCTAAAACCTCGATGGTTATTGGTGGTATATAGAATATGTATGGATGTGTTCTGGGGCGCTGTGAATGGGGGGAACCTTAGGGCGATTCCAAGTGGCCCTGAATGACAGGTCCCCAAAAGAAATATGGAACATAATTGGGTTGGTCTGGGTTGGGGGCCCAATCTGATGGCACCCCTGGATGTAGTAATTACATTATAGTCTCAGTATAACAGTGTAGACTTAAGGCTTCGCCTGGAATGCCTGATAATGATGATCTGCAGTTTTTGGTCACCAATGATTTGGTGGAGATTGTAACATCCTGTATGACACTGTCTCCTCTGCAGGCCTCAAGGATGACACGCTCAGATGAGGACGGCAATGGCGGCTGGGACGCCTGGGGAGGCTGGAGCGAGTGCTCCCGGACCTGCGGGGGCGGAGCCTCCTATTCCCTGCGCCGGTGCCTCAATGGAGAGTGAGTGTGTCCACAGGCCCGGCCCGCGCGCCTTACTGTCACTCGCCGATGTCCGCAGCTTCTCTTTCCATCTGAACGGGTCTGAACCTCTGTGGACCAGAGCCCGAGAGTCTTTGAATGCTTGGCAAGGCAGCGATGCTGCTGGCTTTATGGCAGAAATAGTAAATAAAGTTTTCCATCAGGCACGATGACATTTATCAAGGCCAAAGTCGGGCTGCTTCTCTGTCCGTTACCTGCCTGAGCGTCTCACAGAGTCAGGGACTTTTTTACAGCACAGGAAGAAGTGTAACAGAGTGGATAGAGAAGTCGTTCGCTGAGAGGCTGTCCTGCCGTGTCCCCCCCCCCCCCATCTCTCCGTCATGGGCAGAGGCCTCTTCCATCTGAGTACCCATGACGGGACCGATTCCTAACCTCCCCAGGGTAGGACAGCAGGGAGACATACCGTGGAATTCCCCAAAACTTTGACAGGATACGAGTGCATGCTGACCTGAGAGATCTCAGACTGGCTGTAACAGAAATGTAGCTGTTTACTTCTCAGTGTCTGATTTATTTCTGAGTTTATGACCCTTTATATAAACCGTCTTGTTTGAATGTTTTTGCCGGGAGGCTCAAAAATGGATCCGACGCTAATCAGGTTAAAAAATCAGTAGTTTGTTTTGCTTGCCTTTTGGCCCGGCTTGTATGTGTAACACACCCTGTTTTTAAAGTATTTAATTTTCACTGATTTGATTTACTGTACGGAGAGAAATTTCTCCATGCCGTCACTAAAAAATAAAGTTAGGACATAGCTTCCAGGGCAGGTTGCTGGAAAATGTGTCGCCGTGTGTTGCTTGTCTTCCTGCTTTGACGAGGGGATGAGCAGCATATTATCCCCATGTGCTAAGAGAGCTGTACCCTATAGGCCAGAGCTCAGTCACGCCCTCAACCAGTGTAAGGCATAAATAAAGCCTAATTGTTTCATCAGATAAATCACAGTGGATGCGTGTCACTGTTAAACAGCATTTAATTAGGGTGATTCAGCTCCCCAGACTGATGTAGGTTCTTAAAGTGCAATGTTTTTGTAACCTGTTTCTTTAAAAGATTTTACTGTTTTTTTTTTTTTTTTTTAGCATAATAGCATAATTGAGGGCAGGAATTCAGTTCTTTTGGATTATTTTTGGCAAAACATTTTGGTGGTGTAAAGATTTCTTTTGTGGGTGGACATATTTAAAGTAAGGGGGGGGGGGTGAAATATTGTGTGCAGACTCAGGGACGTAAGAGCACATGCCCGCATGCCACTGCATGTCAGATTGGAAAATCCTATTAAATGTTTCCTGTGTGTGAAAGCAGTTCCCTTAGGGGGCGCCGGGATGCTAACAAGCGCCAGATGTTTGATGCTTAGAAGCATCCTTGTTTGATTTACCCATGCAGAGTGTGTACTGGGGACCTGGGACTCGACAGAGGAGACGTGGGGAGGGGTAATCATTAGCTGGAAGAAGAAGTGTTAATTATTAACCCGTAAGGTGGTTTGGAATAGTTTTAGTATTTGTGCTGTAATTGCTGCGGAGTCTTCTGTCTCCGGCGTTAACCGGCAGGGGTCTGTGGTAAGTGGATTACCAAACACCGTCGGCCTGGTTTAGTGCAGTGTCAAGTGGTATAAGGCAACTGGTGACTGACAGCCTAACATGACCAGCCAGCCTCTGTCTCATTAGTTGTAGTGAATCTCATTGAATGACGATGCCCATCTTTGTGCCCTGGTACCTGCCCTCAGATGGCATAGGGGAGATTGCAGTGCGGGGTGGGGGGCATGGGACGGGGCGGGGGGGTTGTGGCCCATTTGCAGGAGCAATGCCGCAGTGTGGATCTTCACAGGCAGGCTGAGCTGGGCTTTGGCTCGCGGTGATCTTAGAGCAGTGTTTTAATCACACACACCGCTGCACACAGACCCCCCCAGCTCATACACAGACCACCCCATCCTATACACAGACCCCCCCAGCCCATACCCATTTGTGTCTGTCCCACATCACACTCCTCGTTTCCCATCATAGTCCACGAAATTAGGGCCGATTAACACAACAGGCTCTAATTAAGTCTGCAGCTGCTTGGCTGCATTACGTTCCCACATGGGCTGTAAGGGCCCCCCCGGGTGCTGCCGTTTCCCGCCGCTGGGGGAGAGAGTGACGTTCGTGTTCCTGCTAAGGTCCTTGAGCGCTGTGCTGTGGACGTGCTGCCGATGGCCGTTTGCCCAGCCCTCTGTTTGTGTCACCGCCGCCCCTCAGTCCTCACTCTGTCTTTTCCCTGTTTTGCTTGTTTTTCTAGAAGCTGTGATGGGAGGAACATCAGGTACCAGACGTGCAGCAACACTGTAAGTCACTTAAATTTTTATTACTATTATTTTTGTTTTTTTGGGGCCGTAAAACCTGCACTGCTCTCCTTAAGCGATACGTACACCCTTCTGGTAGATTCCACAGCTTTACATTAGGAGGCGCTATTCAGACAACAATCTGTCCTTTCTCTGGCATAAAAACCGTCAGTGTGCAGTAAGGTTTAGCCCCTACAGGTTCAGATTTCTTGTGGGGATTTTTCTAACTGCTAGTGTTGTATTGGAGCGAAAATCCATATAAATATTATCTCTTTCGATATACTTTTGACTTTTACCGTCTCCAGTATCGACCTAAAGTGATCTCAGTCCAGCAAACAACTAGTCAAGAGGAAAAGTGTTGACCTCCTATTTAAGTAGTTTCATCTGCATTTAATGTAGACTCGTATTGTATTTTAGACAATGATTTTAATCAGAATCGGTTGGCAGTGACGTTTCGGGGAAGATGGCCAATCGGAAAGGGCAGCCGTCATACGTCGCAGGAGGTCTGGGCTTTTATCTGCTGGCCTGGAACCTCAGCGTAATTTTACTGATTAAATATCGGTTTTGCTTTGACACAGAGACCAGAAGGTATCATTAGTTATTACTTTAGGTTGTTCAGTCAAGGACTAAAGATTCCTCTTATGTTTCCAAGTGCATTTGGCTCGTTGGGCTTGGGGTAGCTGATTTGGCGCTGACCCTGGGGGCTTGAGGGGGGGGTGGTTGTGTACTGAGCCGGCAGATGTGCGGCTGGCTTGGTGGGTGGGTGCAGATTGACCCTCCTGGATTCCTCACCTTCTCTAGAAGAATCTGTTCGTTTTTTTTGTAGCGGGGTGGAGACAGAGACAAAGACAGATGCTGGGTTTCAGCTTGTCCTCCAGCTTGCCGGCCGTGCGCCGCGTTCCTTGCGGCTGCGTTACCTTCAGCTCCAGTTTGAGTTGCAGATGGTTTCCTGACTGTGGGCTTCACACTCTGTCCCTGTGGCTTGGCCTCCTCAGTCCGTGTCAGTAACTCGTCTGAGGTCTGATTTAGTTTAAAAAATAGCAGACTGTCGATGCAAACCATGTGGATTATGAATCATTTCCTTGGTAAACAGCAAAATACAAGATAATATTCTGGGGTCTTATTTATATGAAGATTCTCCATTCCATGGCCAAACTGACTTTTACTTCTTGCCTGTTTATTAAACTCTGTATTTTACCTGTGTCAGCTTCAGGACCTTGTCGAAGGGTACGACTTTAGGACAGCCCTGATAGGCATGCCTCTCTGCAGGACTGTCCCGCCGAGTCCGGGGACTTCCGAGCCCAGCAGTGCTCCGCCCACAACGACCTGAAGTACCAGGGCCACACCTATGAGTGGGTCCCGGTGACCGACGACCCCCATGCCCCCTGTGCCCTCAGGTGTCAGGCACGGGGTACAGCCCTGGTGGTGGAACTGGCCCCCAAAGTCCTGGATGGGACCCGCTGCACGGCAAGCTCACTGGACATGTGCCTCAGCGGGGTCTGCCAGGTCAGTGTGCTTTAGCGTGTGCCAGTGTATCTGCAGTGTGCTTTAGCGTGTGCCAGTGTATCTGCAGTGTGCTTTAGCGTGTGCCAGTGTATCTGCAGTGTGCTTTAGCGTGTGCCAGTGTATCTGCCCTGTGTGTAACCTACATACAGTACCGGTCAATGTTACACATGTCAAGCCAACTACAAAGTAGAGTGTCGCATCACATGACCTGGCCACCTGACCTAGACACAGTAGAGATGGTTTTGGAGGAGTTTGACCAGAGAGTGAAGGAGCAGCGGCCAATGAGAGCTCAGCATATATGTGGGACCTCCTTCAGGACAGCTGGGAAAGCATCCCAGGAGGCACCTCAGGACACTGGTGTAGAGGAGACAGGAGGGGCAGCCAGTCCCTGGAGCCATTGGGGATAAGGGTCTTGCTCAAGGGCATACTTTTATAGTTATGATGTCTTTTTAATTATTCTAAAATGTAGAGAATAGTACAAATAAACCTTTCTGTGGGTTTATGAGTCCAAACTTTTGACTGGTACTGACTGTGTAAATATCTTCACATTTTCTAGCATATGTTTGGGTGCAGGTTTTCCAGGACTGCATAAACAATTTTTTTCATATCTGCCAACAGTTTTTTACATAAAAAAATCCCAAAGCTTTCTGAAAGCAAGTTTCTAAAAATATAAGCATATTAGTCATAATTTGATTGATTGTGTTTCGACTCTACTGTCTCTGTGTGTTTTCATTGCCCTAAATCCCACTGTGAACTTGCCCAGTTTCACCCATGGGACCTCTATGGTCATATGACACGTATTGACCACTGTCGTGCCACCGCTCTGTCCTCCACATGGCAGAGGGCGGGGATAACTTTCAGGGACCCGGCCACTGGCCGGTTGCCTCTCAGCCGCCCCTTATATTAAGAGATCCAAACTCTTGTGGGCGTTTAGTCATGCGGTGTTGATTTAAACAGACAAAATAGCGGACTGGAGGTTATTTCATTCTTATCGGGTGTAGAATGCGGTGTGAGGGTCAACAGTGCTTAGATGTTTCTGTGGACTGGACAGAGGAGTCAAATACTGGGGACAGGCGAGGGAGGCAGGACTGCGAGGGAGGCAGGGATCAGACCTAGTCACCCATAATTTCTATGTTCAGAATTATTAGCAGGGAAGAGGTGAGTTTTTGAAATAAAATTTAATGGTTCAATAGCCAAAAAATGTTACAGGTTTATCCTTCAGGGAGTAACTTATAATATACAGAGAACTAATCTCCAGAATCCCCCTCAACCCGCTGCTTTTTTATGTTGTTTTTGAAGTAGAATATTCATCTTTAAAATCTGGCCGCCGCCCACTGTAATTTCTGTGATGTAATTACGCCCATTTGAGCCCATCTATCGACGCCCGTTTGATTCTGCTGTTCTTTCTGGATCAACGTCAGATCAGATTTCTTCTCCGATAATCCCACGTGTGGCTGACTGTCAAACAAAGCTGCTTTTGTGGTATAAATATCCACTCCTATTTTTTTTCCTGTTATTTTTTTCTGTTTCATTACTGCTCTCTTGAAGTATGAATGCTGACAGTTCTTTTTTTAAAATAACCAGAACATGCATGGTGCATAAGGAGAGAAATCTCTGCAATAGAATGACTACGATTTTTCACGTACCTCCAGATTTAATGAGTAAATCATTCTCCTGGGTTTGAGATATGAACCTGAAACCTTCTGATTCACATTTACATTTATTTTATTTTGTTTTATTTTATCCCAAGCGACATGCCTTTCTGGTTTCTTTGCGTGTGGACAGGATAAGGCATCTTCTGTGCAGTGATTCGATTGCTTTGGATAGTAACACCGTGTTCATTCATTATGAAAAATCACAGTTCACTAACTAAACTAGGAAGGAGAGAAGATAAATTTACCGGATCCTGATCTGCCCTTTTGTTTTTTGCTGCTGCGGGTTTTCTGGAGGGGGGACCTGAGTGAGCTTGTAACACAGACCAACATGGCTACAGGGTAAAGCAGCTTTGAAAAGACACGTCTGTGGTTCCTTTAATATTGCAGGTGAGATACGACTCCTGCATGAATTTCGGCTTTGGTGGCTTAGCGTTGAGGGCGGTTTGCTGACCACAGGAGACCCGAGGCTTTATTTACATCTGTCTGCTGTGTCTGTGCTCTCTGACCTGTGTCTGACCTGTGTTCATATCCCATGTTCTACAGTCACTTCATAACCAGTCAGTTAACTGTTCGGAGAGTGATTAAGGAAACTGAAAGAATTTTAACAAGTAACCTCAGGGCTGCCAGCTGTCACTCACGCTTTCAGACTCTCACGATCACGCAAGAAATCTTAAGGCTAATCTTTGTTGTTCCATTATAACCCTAAAATTAAAGCGTTGGGGTAGTTTGCAAACCCTACAGACTATTTACGAGGTAATAAAACTGTTACATACATCTACATGTGTGCGCAGACTTGTCTGGAATCGAAAATCTCACTCCAGCCAGCTGACCGAAGTTGGCAGCCCTGTAACCTGGAAATGAACATGATGCTGGTAGCTGTAGGGCAGTAATAGAGATCGAGGACAGACAGTGACCTCGCAGGGTGATGTCATAGAGATTGAGGGCAGACAGTGACCTCGCAGGGTGATGTCATAGCCCTCGCCGGCTCCCAAATCCTGCCTGTGACAGACCGAATGTGATGGGGAGAACAAAAATGCGTTTTGACTGTGAGGCGTATGGTATTTTCAGAAGCTGTAATGGAAAATTGAAGGAGATGCAAAATAGCACAGCGTTCGGGCCTTAGCCCTGAGTTTAGCTTAGCATGAAGGAGCAGGCCGTGTCTGCGTGGATGAGCGTTTGAGAGACCCCTTCTCAAGTCGTCTTTGAAGAGAACAGGAAGCTCTGATGGTTTCTGGTCCATGGGCCTCATAGATGAAGAATATGGCCGTGGAATGTGAGGACTGTCACTGGAAGGTTACTCTGTGGCTGGGATTGTGGTGATGGGGTGGGATTGGGGGGCAGGGGTTGGCTTGAAAGAGGCTCTGCTGACAGCCGCTTGGTGACGTCTTGATAAGAGCCAGCAGTAAATGGAGGACAGGAAGTCTGCCTGCTGGACAAGCCGGCGTGTCGTGCTCTTAAACGCCAAGCCTGTCTTTTCTCTGGCCTGGTGACGAGTGACTGGAGGTGTCACGATGAGGTCACTGTAGGGATGGCAAGCGATCCGGAATGTTCCAGCGGAGCGTGTCAGGTTTTCTCTCAAAAGCGTGGCAAGGCAACTTTGGGGAGGGTGATACAAACCAAATGGACACCTCACATGAAACGGGGGGGGGGGGGGGGGGCAGTCATGCCATGGAATGCTGGCCTCAGCGTGGAGAGCCATTGGTGGTGGTATCTTCTGGTGAAGGATCAGGCTGGCATTGGCGGAGCATCTGTGGTTGT